GGAGAATTATTTTTACAAAAAGGGCAAAAAAGAGGGCGCATTTATTGGGATTAAAGGACAAGCAGGGCCGACAGCCCTTCTAAAATCGCTTGGAGAGAACAATAGATATATATATATATATGTATATATACGTATATATATAAAAAGAGAGAGAGAGAGATGCGTGTGTGTAATTTATTATAAATTATTACAAAGAAATTATTCGACCGATTTTTTCAAAAAATGTATTCTCATCTATGTTATATCTGCCTGTTCCTTATTTTATAATTGTTCCTTATTTCGATTACGTTGTAATGCGATATGCATGATATTCTCATTGCGATTTTCGTCATTATGTTTATGTGTAACAATAAGTTATAGTTTCTAAACGAAATCCTTTAATTATTCTGTAACCCAGCAGCAACCATCTCTGTAAAAACAAAAATATTTGCAGCCGAATAAAACTGCTGAAATGCCGATGGAGTTACCGATGGAAAACATCCTGGAGTTCATGAGGTTGAAGAGGGCGCAGAAGAGGAAGGCGTAAGTTCTGCTGAAGTTCATCAACATGAAGAAACCGACTGTGAGGTCGAGTAAAAAGCCACCCAGGTGAACCACAAGATACGTTATTTGGTCATCAGTCAGAAATAGTCTATAAACAAAAATCATGATTGTGAAAAGTGATACTTTTTATATTAGAGTAAACAAACTTCATGCTGCAGTGTGTAAAACTGGCTCATACAAGTTTGAGTTTTGCCTCAAAATGTTAGTCTGTCTTAGCTCCATCTATCAATAAAAGGAATGCATAAAATAAATTTCAGCTAACTTTTGGCACAATTATTTTAAATTCTAAGATTAAATTTTGTCCGCAGCGTTTAGCCCATTGTATAACTTCACGAGCCACTAAAATATTTTTTTTTTTTTTTTGCTCACCCGCCGCTTAGTTAGAATTAGAGTTCCTGATATCTAACTTTCTGAGTTAGGGCAATGGCTCCAAAATTGTCCGAAACATTGAATTTGTGAAAAAAGAAGAAGATGGAATGGTTACCACTTATTGGTGACGCCTTTCTCTATTATTATATTCTTTTCCAGTGTTGGGAACTTAGCAGTAATTTTTATTTATATATTTTTTCATTTTTTTCTTCTATTTTTTTAGTTTTCCGTGATGTTTAAAAATAAATAGCATTTCAGGTAAAAGAGTTAATTATTGATAAATTTCCAAAAAATATAGACAACAAAATAGTAGTGTTTTGAAGAAAAAGCTTTTTAATCATTTTTATTAACATATTTTTTTAATGCTTCAATAAAAATTTTATCTTAAGACGGTGCAACGCAGTAAAAATCTGAAAAAAAAGACGAATTTGTTAAAGAATTTTGCAACGATTGTTATAAACTTAATATTTTTTTAAAAACTTAATGTAAAATTCATTTTACAATTGCAAATACAAAAATTCAAGAAATTAGCACTTATATAATGCAATGCTTATAACTTATTTTTGAAATTATCCACAACTTGTTGTACTCATAATAATAAAAAAAAAAAATCATCCACATTTGATTCTGTTTTGAATTTTTATTAACTGCTTGAATGTATTTTCGTCGCAGGAAGGATTTTTAAAAAATGATTTTTTTTGCAACGAAATAAAAATTCGAATAATTTTCTTCCAAACACCACGTTTGGGAGAAAAAATAAATAAATGGCTTCAAATAAGTTACATTCTCGTTGATTACTCAAATCCAGTCAACCCAATTTTAAAAAAAATCCCTACTACGTGCAACGATAACCACATTTATTAAGAATATTGGTCCGAAATTTGAAGGATATCGGTTGAAAATAGTTCTGATACAGCAAGTAAGGGAAACATAGTTGCGAGTGAAATGCGTTTTGTGATCAATAATCCATATAAATATATAAAATTTTGCAACTAACTATAAAACTAGGTCCATAAGATACTCCATCATTTGCAACAGTCTAGCCCGTCGATTTACTCTCAGGTGACGACTCATATGTTTTTAGAGTAGCATTCGAAATTCCGCGGTTAGCTTCATTTTGGGGATGGCTGATGGGTCTACATTTATTTATAATTGTTTCAAAACTGTCCTTTGCAACCTTCATTAGAAATTGTGACAGAGAAATAAGCTGCAATTTTAAATAATTTATATTGAAAGTACCATTAATTCTTTTTTTTTAAATAAATTATTTCAGTAAAATAGTTAAAATGATGATATTTAATAAAATGTTTTGATAAGAGTGAGAAAATCCATTAATCAACAGAGCGTATTATGCTACCACTTTTATATTTCTTACAAAAATCAATTGAAATTTTTGGAAAAAATCTCAAAATTAACAATTAGCTATTGAAAAAGCATTTGTTTCATTTATTGTGTTGTTCTCCCTTGATATAAATAACCTTTTTATTTTATGAGATTTTTGTAAACTCAATTGAATTTTGATATGTTTGTGAGGTCAACTTGGTACATGAAGTTTTCTGTCAATGGAATTGACAGAAAAATAGTCAAAACTTAGATTATTTTCCGCCTAGCTAGAGCACTCAAAACAGTACTAAAGTCCCATACCAGATGTCAATGTAAGATTAAATAATTTCCATTCAGCACGATATTACCATACAAGCATATATGGCAGTACTTTTACTTTCGTTACTTGTACCGCCGGTAGAAGTAAAAAGTACGTACTTTTACTTGTACTTCGTTACTTTTTAAACTTAGTGCATTTACTTGTACTTTCGCTACTTTTTTATGGAAAAAGTACTAGTATTTGTAATGGAAATGTCGAATGAAATCGTTACTTTTTTCTAAAACTCGGTAAGCTTTCTAAAAAAAAAAAAAAAAAAAGTTAGAAAATATGCTTATGTTTTTTTAAGTTATAAAATTAATGTGCAATATATATGCATTCACAGCTAACTTCGAGTTTAAATACCTTGACCTTTTAAAATTGTCATTCCTGAAAGGGAAAAGATGGCTCTTTTGAACTGCGAAGGGTTTCGCGATGTGAAATCGCAGGACGATTTATTGTTTGTTGCAGGTCTGGTACTTTGCATCAAATTTAATTGGTTTGAATAAAAGGCTAGGGAGGAGACTACAAAAAAAAAATTGGAAAGAATTGTCCAAGCTGAGCACCCTGCTATAACTAATAACGTAACAGAAAAAAACCCAGGGATTTTAAATTATCCAAAGCTGAAAACATCATGCCAATCACCAGCGACAGAAGAATTTATGGCATACATGAGCTCAAATGTCGAAACGGAAAGCATATCAATTTTGAATCGATATCCAATCGTAAGAGAATTATATGTGAAATATAATACTGCAGTACCTTCTAGTGCTCCCGTGGAGCGCTTATTCAGCGTGGCTAAGCACGTTCTGAGAAATTCTCGCAGCAGACTCAGTGACACCACTTTCGAAATGCAATTATTTTGCAAAATGAATAAAAATATTAATTNTTTAAATTCAAAGAAACTTCAACACTTAGTACATTTTTTACTAAAATTATGTTTATGCCCGACCTTGTCAAACAACGCCCAGTCAAATCTCTAAGAACTTTAGAACTATTTGTGCTATTGAAAACTACTTGTGCTATTGAAAACTTTTGTTTAGTACTTGTTCTTTTTACTCGGTAGTTTTTAAAATAAGAACTTTTACTCGTTACTTTTTTTAAAAATACTTGTAGTTTTACTCGTTACTTTTTAAAAGTAACGCTGCCATATATGCATCCAAGTACCGTCTTCAAGAGAAATTCTCGTCAAGAGAAATTTTTAAGAGTTGGCTCATATAATAAATCTGTCGCCTCCCAATCAGGTGACCTAGGTTCGATCCCAGCGTTGACTGGTTATTCATCTTAAGTTTTACGAAATCAACTATGGAAAATTTGAATTTAAATGTCAATCTCTTAATTTCTTCCTCCATTTTTTAAAAATGCATTAAATCTTTATGAAATAAAAATATTAGAAATTCCCTAATAATAGAATCCTGAAAAAGATGAAGGAATTCCCCATTATATATAGATGTCTGCAGCACCTTCTTTTACGAAATCTAAAGTGCATAACTTTTTAAACTCATAATTTATAATTATTTTTAAAGCGCGCTTGAAAATTAAAACAAAATTTAATGTTTTTCGCTCCCTTATGTTTTCATTTTTAAAAGAGATTAAACGAAAAAACTTCTTAGAAGATAAATAAAAGTAAAATGCATTCCTCAGTTAATAGGTTTAAAAGATTTATTATTCAAGAGAATCAAATAAAACTGAAGGCGTGTGCTAAAATGAAGAATAAAAACCCTCATTAGTACCTTGTAAATCTTTAGCTTTTGGCGTTTATTACAAGTTTAGTACACTTCAAAATATATGAGTAAAATAAAAGTGTAAAAATGCAGTTTTTTTCGTCTTCTTTCCTTAATAATAAATAGTTCACTGAGTGCATAAATTTCTGTAGTTATTAAGTTGATTTTTTCTTCTCAAATAAATAATTAAATTATTTTTGAACCATCAAGAATCTGCGTGTCTGATTATCAAGAAAAGGGTGACATTATGAGTTAAAAAAAATGAACAAAATGCAGGGTTATAAAATCTGCATTAAAATTTTTTTAATTTTTTTTTATTTAAAAAATATATGTTCTGCAAATGAACGTTATTAACTTTTTATAAAATTGCGTTTTTTAAAATAATTTTTGTCATAACTTCCTTATAATTATAAAAGAAACTCATACAGTAAATCAAAAATTGTCCTCTCCCACAAAAAACTGTTCAAACCTGATACACTCTAACAAAGAGATGCGCGTAATGTTTGAGTGAGGGGCAGATATTTTGAAAAAAATGTTGGTTGCTATGTAGTTTATTACGCAGAATCTAATGATAACCCATTGAAGATAATAGGACTGACAGTTGAGAATTTATGAGGGTTTTATCTAGAAAATGTACCGTCTAATACTTGTGTCTCTTTCTTATATTCTTTGCCTAAAGTTGCTATCTAAACACGTAAGGCATTGTTTCGCATGTATATTTTTAAGTCGTCTCAAATTTGAAAAATTTTTCAAATCATAAATATAATTTTAGTTTTCAAATCTAGCCATTAAAAATGCAAATCGAAATACTTTTGAGCATGTTGGTAAAATATAGTCTTTAGACTGAAAAATTACATTTGGCATTTTAAAATCACATAAAGTTTCTATCGTTCTCATTCCATAAATAGATTTTGGAATGAAATTTTGATTGATTTTATTCAGAAACCAAAACATTTGACCAAGAATAGCTTTAACCGTTGTTGACAAGGAGGGCGTTACTTACCTTGGAGAAGCAGTTATGACAATCCATTACAGGAAATTGGGTCAGCCTGCTAATCAGAGATGGACATTCGTCATTCAGAATAATGAATAAAGAATAATGAATAAAGAATAATGAATAAAGAATAATGAATGATTATTCAAAATCTTCCTGAATAATGAATAAATATTCATTCATTAGTCAAAAATATTTTGAATAAAGAATAAACCATTCATTATTTTTTTCATTCTTTATTCGTCAGTCGAGAATAAGTGAATAATTTCACTGCTTAACAGAAATGGGAACGGAATACTATAATTGGCTACGATTAAAACACTTACAAATAAAAAGTACATAGTAATAAACTACTTGTAATC